AATAAAAATAAAATTATGAAGCCTAACTAATTCTCAATCAACTTAATATTAAATAATAAAATTAAAAAATAAATAATTAAAAATAACAAAAAAATTAATAAAAATCAACATGAATAATTCACAAAACTTATGACTTAAATCAAGATATCAAAGTAATTTTATATAAAAAATTAAAATAAATCATGAAATTTAATTTTAAGTAAAATTAATATTAAAAAATAATTTTAAAATTAAAAACAAATAGATGCTCAAAACCCTCAAGGACCAGAATAAAATTGCCGAGGCATTTCATTTTCAATGATAAGGAAAATACCAGAGCCTTTGGTACATACACTAATAATTATTTTTACTTTAATTGTGTGTGTGAAAGGCATGTATTGTAACTCAAGTTATTTTTGTCTCAAAAATCAACCCTCCTCGTCTTGGAAATGATTTTAACCTGAATTTAAAAATATTAATTTAATAACCAATACATTCTTCATATACACTAAAATACAAATGTAATTTGCAATCAAGTTATTAAATGATAAAAATACAAACATCAAATAGTTTTTGAATATCTATGTCAATTCAAGAGAATAAATAAAACATTAATGATAAGAGGTCTTTAAAAATATAATAATAGTTGTTTTTAAAAGTGTTTTTTACTAGGAAATATATTATTTTTTTTTAAAAAAATTATTTTTAATATTAACACATCAAAGTAATCTTAAAATATAAAAAATAATAATTTAAATGCAAAGAAAAAATATGTATTTTTTAAACTTTTTGAAAATATACTTTAAAACATAAAAATAAATATGAAGAATCTTAAATAAATAATTTTTGGACAATTTATTATGATAACTTTTGGAATGTGGTAGTTCCAAAAGCTTACATAAATTGTTTCTTGTAAAACTTATTATGGTAAAAAATAAACAAAGAGGTAAATGTTCAGTTTAAAAAGAAAAAGGAAGAAGAAAGATAAGTACTTGACTTTTAACTAATATAGCGTGATAATATATTTTTTGGGATAAATTTTTATTCTTTCTTTATTCGAAAAGGATACGGACAGGGCGGGAAAAAAAAAAAGAAGCCCTCTAAGCAATTGTTTTTTAATTAAATCACCTCCTAATAACAAACATTAGCGTGTAACTTTATTATTTCTCTATGGATCAAAAGAAATTTTGGCAAGAGCATAAGATTATTAATGTCTGAATATACATTTATTTTAGGAAATTACAGTCCTATAGCATCTCCAACTAGAAAATTAAATAAAAAGCTAAATTAAAAAAAAAACATCCTTTTAACTTTTTTTTCTTTTAACAATTTCAACAGTGCAGATAAATGAATAGTTAAAATAACTATTTAACCTTTGAAAAGCTATTTTTATAAATTTCTATAAAAATAGTCAAATAAAATTACCGTTACCAATAATTATTTTTATACCTGTTAGCTATCAATTTTTTTTTAAAGCAAATTAAAAAAATTTATAAATTTTTAAATCCTGTATTATGCTTTACTTTTTTTTTTAAATTTTAAAAAATAAGAATTAATTATTTTCTGGCTAATCTTGTATCATGCCTTACCCTTCTCTCAATTTTTAAAAAACAAGAATAAATTAAATTTTTAATAATACCATATAAAACTAAAAATTAAAAATATTCATACAAATAAATTTTAAATTATATTTTTTAAATTTTAAATTATTTTATTAATTTTATATTACTTTAATTAATTACTCATATTAATTATATAATTAATAACATCATAATTATATTGTATATAAAATATCTAAATTAGTTATATAATTATATTAAAATTAATTTAATATAAAATATATTAAAATATAATTAATTTTTTTAAATAGCTTTTTATCATTAAAATATATATAATTAAAAAAAACTATGTTTATATTATTTAAAAAATTATTTTATCATTTGTACCTTTTAATTTAGCATTTTATATTGAAAATGCTTTTAAGACCCCACACACACCTGTTTATGCCAGCGGCTTGAGTGTGGTCGTTCAGGATCGAGCCCTGCACCCAAAACGCCAATCGAAAGTTGATTTCCGATGTGCTCTTCCAACGGTCAAACCCGTTAGCTTTATAAAATAATAATATTCTAAGTTTTCCAAGATATACACTTCTTTTGTTGTTGCTTGGTCTCTTAGGCATGTCTTTCTTATGTGATCCTCCATTAGTTTTAATTTATTTTAGTTTTTATAGATGAGGTTGAGGTTATGAACTATCTAATCATGCATAAAATTTAATTATAAAAGCTATTTTTTCTTGTTTTTTCTAGTTTTTTTGGTAAACTTCTTATAAAAAACCCAACATTAATCTCTGAAACAAACACACTTTAAGGGTGACATGTTTTTTTATGCTGTGGTGCTAGATTTTATAAAATCTTGATTTTTATTTTATTTTAAATTATATTTTTATTTTATTAGATTATTTTGATATTTTCATATTTAAATATTAAAAATTAAAAAAATATTTCATACATTTATAATAAAAAACACTTTAAAACATAATTGTCCTCGACACTCCCGCTGCGAGGCGAGGGACAGCAAGCCCCTCCGCGCCCTGGTTTCCTAGATGGATTGATTCAACGATGCACGTGAAGGCTAAAGCAATGCAGCTAAATGATTCAGCACTGTCGCACCAGCAAAAGACCCAGCCCTGATATAGGATAAGATCACTAAATAGAGATCGAGCGAGGAACAGGTTAAAACAAGGTAGATTCTCTGAATGATTCAATTATGGAAGGGATGTGAGTCACACACCATTAAACACGCATTCAGTAGAAGATCGATCATCTTTTTGCACCAAGAATGGCTGGCGAGGGAGATCATGGTTCCTGCAGCGAGACCCAAGACAAAGTCGGTCATCAAATCTGGCTTTGAATGGAGTTCTAGTCAGCAGTTGTGGCTTAATTTAAATGAATCTAGTCAACAATTGTGCGTGGAATTTCTTGCGTGTCTTATCCCTGTCGACCCCATTTGCCCTAATTGCGAGGGCAAGCCATCCAGAAGCTCACAGAAACATTATTAATTAACGAAGCTGGTTCAAGCCTAACCGGAATGTCCACCAACAAAGTTGAACTGTTGCCCGAATATTCTCACAGCTCTTTTTGTTTCAATTTTTTTTTATTTTTTTATCTCGATCAATTATTGGGTTTAATATTCGTTCCGCATAAATAATATATATATATATATCATACTTTCCAAGATTCAAGTTAACAGCTTCTTCTTAAAATACTAGCACTGCCCGGTTCTGCGTTTCTTCATAGGGTTTTTCTCTAGCGTTTGTTCACTTTATTGTATTTCTTTACGATAAAATGCGAAAAGCAATTTCCAAATGATTAATAGGTAAACGAAGCAGGAGGAGAGGTTTCCCTTTTTTTTTTTTTTTGTGTTTCAAATACACATGCGAAATGAAATACTAAAATGATTAATAGGTAACAGAAGCAGGAGTAGAGTTTTTTTTTATTTTGTTTTTGTGTTTAAAAATATTTTTTTAAAAAATTAAATTAATATTTTTATGTGTTTTTATATCATTTTATTACACTAATATTAAAAATATTTTTTAAAAATAAAAAAATATTATTTTAATATATTTTTAAATAAAAAATATTTTAAAAAATAATTATAATAACAATCACAGACAGCTTTTTAAGTGATAACTAATATAAGTGGTAACTAAGTGATAACTTGTGGTCATGCTTCGCTAATATGTGGAGTGATTTTCTAGCTGTGTTTGGATATCTTGTTTAAATAATTAAATTGATATTTTTTAATGTTTTATCTTTCCAAGATTCAAGTTAACATCTTCTTCTTAAAATACAAGCACTGCCCGGTTCTGCGTTTCTTCCTAGGGTTTTTTTCTCCAGAGTTTTGTCACTTTATTGTATTTCTTTACGATAAAATGCGAAAAGCAATATCCAAATGATTAATAGGTAACCGAAGCAGGAGGAGAGCTTTTTTTCTTCTTTCAAATACACATGCGAAAAGAAATACTAAAATGATTAATAGGTAACAAAAGCAGGAGTAGAGTTTTTTTTTATTAATGTATGCTTTGTTTTCATGTTTTAAAAGTATTTTTAAAAAAATTAAATTATTTTTTTAAATTAATATTTTTGAGTTTTTTCAAATATTTTGATACGCTAATATTAAAAATAATTTTTAAAAATTTAAAAAATATAATTTTAAATAAAAAATATTTTAAAAAACAATTATAATTAAACTCATAAACATGGTGATCACTTGTGGTCATGCTTCGCTAATACGTGGAGTGTATGGGGAGTGATTTTCTAGCTGTGTTTGGATGTTTTTTTTAAACAATTAAATTGATATTTTTTAATGTTTTATAATAATTGATGCTAAAAATATAAAAAAAATTATTTTAATATATTTTTAAATAAAAAATATTTTTATTACTAAACTAAGCTAATCTACGCAGTGAGGTCATGATGCATTCTACGCGAGTTGGTAGACTAATTTATAAAAACAATTATTATTATATTAGGCTAGCCCCCCGTTTTTGCTCTACAAAGGTCAGTGCTCCTAGGGGGTTTTGCTCGCTCGCACTGAATGATCGAACTGTTGTATAACGTAGAGAAAGAAAAGGTGCAAATAAATTTTGATTGGGGTAAGAAACTCTAATAACTTAGGGCTTTTGGGATTTTTTTAATAAAGAAATGAGGGTACTTGCATATTACAAAGTACAGACCAATCAGGGAACAAGTATTATGTAGAAAGCAACTCCACTAAGAACAGGGAAGCACACGACCATGCAAAGGTATGAAAACGTTAAATGGAAGCACTGACAAGGTGCACAAATGGCTTAGTAATGGAATTCTGATGAACTAAACGCATTTGGTCTGTGGGTCTGCTCATGGGTCCTTTTGACGTTAGTGGAATCTGGAATCTGCATACATATTATTTACTCGTATCATCAGTAGATTAAGAACTGTATAAAAGGAACCGTAGCGCTGCCATCATAGTCTCATAAAACTCTGTGCCTAAATAAGTTTTTTCCTATCAGGTTTTTGAGTCTAAGCTGTGTGGTTGATATGAATAGCTTTGATAGAGCAAAGCCCTTCGTTGCTGTTATGTTCTTGCAAGCTGGGCTTGCAGGGATGGATATTCTGTCCAAGGCAGCGCTGAATCAAGGGATGAGCAATTATGTGCTTGTGGTCTATCGCCATGCCGTTGCCACTGTTGTCATTGCCCCCTTCGCAGCAATTCTAGACAAGTCTCTCTCTCTCTCTCTCTATCACGCACACACACAACTAAAACTGAACAAACAATAATGTCTTGCCTTAATTTCTCTTCCTTTTTTAAACAGGAAACTCAGGCCGAAGATGACCCTCTCAATCTTCATCAAGCTAGTGGCGCTCAGCTTGCTGGAGTAATTTTCTAATAACAAATCCAATTTCTCCTTCTTTCTATTCCTTTGACAACCTGTAACCATATAAAAATCTCTTCCTGGGCAGGCCTGTTATCGACCAAAACTTGTATTTTCTAGGGATGAAGTACACAACAGCAACATTTGCAGCTGCTATTGTCAATGTTCTTCCTGCAATCACCTTTATAATCGCCTGGATAGTTAGGTAACTTTGAGATATCAAGTGCAATTTAGCTGCATTGCAAAGGATATAGATAAACTGTAAACCACCTACTAGTATTACTTAAAAACACTGTCGATGTTCTTATTGCATCTAAATACTGCTTCTTCCTGCCTAGGCTTGAGAAAGTGAAAATCGGTTCTCTCCACAGCCAAGCTAAGGTGGCTGGGACCATAGCAACAGTTGCTGGAGCAATGTTGATGACACTAATGAAAGGCCCATTGATCGAGTTCTTTCGGATAAAAGGGAGAGCTTATCATGAAAACGGGACTAGTGGAATTGATCTCCATAGCTCAATCAAGGGTGCACTAATGATCACCGTGGGGTGCTTCAGCTGGGCCTGTTTCATGATTCTGCAAGTAAGCTACCAGCATGCCTTGTATAGAACACAATTAATCGGTTGATAGATCTCCTCGACAATTTTAACCTCTTATTCATTTCTCTAGGCCATCACACTGAAATCCTATCCTGTAGAACTCTCTCTAACGGCTTGGATTTGCCTGCTTGGCACAATTGAGGGCACCGTGGTGGCACTGGTAGCAGAAAAGGGAAAACCTTCTGTCTGGGCTATAAACTGGGATATGAAATTACTTGCAGCCGTCTACAGTGTAAGAAAATCATAAAGCCCACGTACATCTTGATCGACCCTAATTAAAGAAATTGCTCTCATCAGAGTATACTCTGAAATGAACACGCAAGCAATTATTTCTAGAACTATTGTAGTGGTTGAATTAGACTATACCTTCTTGATTTAAAAAAAGAAAGAAAACAATCACTGCTAATCTGTTTTTTTAATTAAAAAAAACTACTTATCTCTGTTGTAAATGATATATCACTGCTAACAAATGATACATAACAAAGAAACAGAGCACCTTAGTTACTTCTGTGAAATGCAATCCGTGCAGGGTGTTTTCTGCTCAGGGCTAGCTTATTACATTCAAGGAATAGTAATGAAAGATCGAGGGCCCGTTTTCGTAACAGCTTTCAGTCCCTTGTGCATGGTTATTGTTGCTGTCATGAGCTCCATCATTTGGGCTGAGCAAATGTACCTGGGAAGGTATCTCTATAGACATGGTGCTCGATCACCATGCATACCAGCATGCGCAGTTTCGTGCATGGTGCTTGTATATATACAGATTACCAAGAACCTAACAAATCTTAAATTTTACAGGATACTCGGTGCCCTTATCATAGTTGCAGGCCTATATCTTGTAGTATGGGGTAAAAGCAAGGACTACAAGACTGCATCCCCACCGGCTGACGAGCAGACAATACCAGTAAAGCAAACAACAGTTGCGTGAAGCAAAGGAAAGGACGATTGGGTTCACGAGGATACAGAAATGAAGCAAAAATGGAAAACAAACTGCGATTAAGATTTCGACATCCAAAGGAGTCGACAATCCATCCACCAAGCAAACATAATTATAAGAGAGAAGCAGTATCAAACATCTCCAGTTTCCGTATGCATCTCCACAACATCGTCAAAACAGCTTTAGTTTTGTTTTTAACAAGGAAGAACTCATCATGCTTTGAGTTTAGTGAATTATCCACTACCAAATATGTGGAACCGTATCACTTCTTCAAATAATTAATTGCTCCCAAATTGTAAAATGAAAAATTGCCACAGCTGTAATCTACGACACCCATTATGTTCCTAAGACAAGGTTGGAGATTATATCATCAACACACACACAAATATATACCAACCCAAATTAAGATCTGCACACTTAAAACCCAAATTTGATTTTACTTAGTTATAGAACTCTAATTGAGAAGGAAATGGAAAGAAAGAAAGAAAGGGTAGATATTGGAAAAGAAAATTAACATATACTTAAATATGTAGTTTAACACCATTTTTTTTTGGTAATATATATATATATACATACAGTCTTTCGATTAGTCAAGCACCACCCAATACCAAGGAAACTATGATGCTCTGCCTATTTGGGTGTCAGTGATCAACTGTTGCCAGAACCTATCTCATATGGGCCATTGCCGAGGATAAAGGCTGGTCGGCACCCTTTTGTTAATTGCAGAACAAGTTGTCCGATACTCCAATTTATTGGTCTGACATCCTCAATCTGCCAATTAAAAGAGGCCAGTTCATATATACCATGTCTAGTAATGAAATTATTTACCCAAATCTGCATTTCTTTCCTTTCCCCTTTTTTTTTTTTGTTGTACTCTAAAGAAAGTTGCCTAATATTTTAGATACAAGTTGAGGGAGAAATCCCAGCACAACTATCAAAATGTTCCAAGCTGAAGACGTTTGATTTCAGCATTAACTTCCTTAATGGATCCATCCGTCTGAGCTTGGAAACCTCGAGGATCCAGAGCAGCTAATAGCATGGTATAATGGCTTGGAAGCGAGAATTACACTGGAATTGGGCAAATGCCAAAATATGAAGGATCTACTTCTCAAATAAAGTTAAAAGAAAAAAAACACCAACGATGCCCACAGATTATTTGATAAAATGCGTGAAAAATAATTTGTGTTCATGCAATTGTAAATGATAATTTTATTATTTTGAGGTTTATGGTGCTTTTTAGTCATTAAAATAAATATAATGACAAATATATAAATAATTAGATTTTTTTTATTGATTTTTTTCAAAAGAATATTAAGCGTTAACATGCATATAATTTCTCAAAGTACATCAAACCTTAAAAAAGAGTTTTCAAAATATAAAGTTTGATTTTGTGTTTAATCTTTGATTGAAATGGTTTTTGATGGTCAAATTGGGTTTTAGATGGTAGCTTTGAGGTTTATAATGGAGAAAAAATAAAAAGTTGAGAGAATAGATGTTCGTTCACCGGAGAGAGGGAATCCAGCTAACTTAGCGAGTTGAGGACAGCCCAAGACATGACACATCATCCATATCTGAATGGGAGACGACGTGTCCTCCACTTGACAAGGCTTGGCACAAGCCGAAAGCCTGCAGGCATCATAGACCCGTTTTGTTGAACCAAACATGGGTGGCAGGTTTACCTTGAATCCGGTAATTCAAGAACAAGATAGAGTTAGGTTTAAGAAAAATAAAGAAATGAAAAAACTCGAGTTGATCTGATGATCTGAAAACCTGAATTGGTTGGGTGGTCCGATCAAACTCATGAACTTCAAAAGATATATGGATTGTATAGTTAAATTAATTGATATAACCAAATTATGTTTAAATGGGATTGCAAAAAAATAATTTAATTGAAAATTCAGTGTATTTAAATGGGATTGCAAAAAAATAATTAAATTAATAAAAAAATAATTTAATTGAAAATTCAGTGATGACCTTGTTAATGTGAAAAATTTGGAAATTTGATATGATTACAAGTATAAAATGAAGAAGTGTGGGTTCAACAATTAAAGAACAATCATGGAATTTAAATATGTTAAAGATAATAAATATAATGATGCAAAAGTAAAGTATAGTATAGTCAGAATTGTATTAACATGAATTCTGGTTTATGCACTAGGAGGTGGACGATGAACAATTAAGCACCAGCAAAGCACCGTTGATTTTTCCAACTCTTTTAGTAGTAAACAGTAATGTATTAGACTATATATATATATATATATAGAGAGAGAGAGAGAGAGAGAGAGAGAGAGACACTCTTAATAATTTTTTCATATCCTCTTAGTATTTTTTTTTCTTCAAAACCACCTCCTAATAATAAATGGATGCGCCTTTATTGTTTCTTTATAGCTTGCAAGTTGCAACTTTTTTTAGATAAATTTTGATTTTTCATACATGGTAAAAATTCCCTTTCACCCTAGCCTTAACGTTCAGTATGAGTTTGTTCAGTAAGAAAAAAAAATATTTTTATTAATTTTAAGTTGTATAATTTAATTGGTTAGTTTTTGAGTTTGTTTTTTAAAAATTATAAATTTTAAAAATACTAGAAATTTATTTAATTTTTAACTCTAGAAACTTAAAAAATTAATTAAAATATATATAAATTTTAGAAACTTAAAAAATTAATTAAAAAATATATAAATTAACCGGATATTAACCATAAAAAATAAATAAATAAACTGCCTGCCTAATAAGGATACCAAATCCCTTCTATCACGGTAGACTTATGCTGGCGACCTTGGCACAGCCAAGCCCTTGAGTGACGTTTCTTTTATAGGAATTGCCATTGAACATCGATATTGAGGCTACATATGAGGTTAGCGTACGTTTGTCTACGCGGTTGTGGTTGAAATAAAATGTAATAAATATATATTTAATTATAAAAAAACCATTATTAACTATTTATAAATTTCACTTTTTACTACATTGCAAACTCAATAATCACAAATCACAAAGTAGTAGGAGACTGCTTTTATTTCAACAATAAATCATAAAAAACATATATTTATGAATTGTGTATGCTAATTAATTGGCATGCACAACTTGCATACACTATACATGTTATTTGAATACATTATACATTGTATGCATGTTATATGATAATTAATTTGCGTAAATACTACACAAAATTCAAATTACATAAATGAGATCAACTACACGTCTAAAATATGGGATATCCTTGCCAGCTGGCTCAATGTCTTTTTAGGGAATACTTAGATTCGTGGGAACGCCTTGCATCGTAAGCCAGGATATTCTTTTTATCAATAAAAAAATGATTTTTAAGCAAAGCAAGCGTCTTCTGAAAAAACATAAAAAGTAACTTAGAGTATATATACCTGATCAGGAAAAAAAACTGGTATGTGGATCGATTAAAAAAAAAAATAAAAAAAATCATTGAAGTCAAAATTCCAGCCAATTAAATGTGGTGCCAATCAAATATTGAAAAAAAAGTAAAAAATAAAAATTGAGCCAAACTAACCAATCAAATCAATATAAATCAAGTTATGAAATCATGATAAAGTAGTAAAAAGTAGATAAAATACAATCAAAGTCAAATTTCAAATAAATTAAACATTAAAAAATAAAATTAAAAAAACACATAGCAAACCAAGAAAACAAACCAAACAATACAATCTAGATCATGTAAATGAGAAAATCAAATAAAACACAAACCAGAAAATATCACAAAACTCAATGCTAGAAAAATCCAATGCTGACATATAAAATATAAAAAATATTAAATTTAAAAGAAATGACCCTAAAAAAATCAAATCAATCTAAATCAACATGTTAAACTTACAATTTAAGTTATGAAACCAAAATAAACAAATAAAAAAACCTATTCATAGCAAACCAAGAAAGCAAACCAAACAATACAATCTAGATCATGTAAATGAGAAAATCAAATAAAACACAAACCAGAAAATATCACAAAACTCAATGCTAGAAAAATCCAATGCTGACATATAAAATATAAAAAATATTAAATTTAAAAGAAATGACCCTAAAAAAATCAAATCAATCTAAATCAACATGTTAAACTTACAATTTAAGTTATGAAACCAAAATAAACAAATAAAAAAACCTATTATAAAATACCTCAACCTTGAAGGATAGTTATCTAACTTTAATTAAAAAAAAAATGGAAAAACATAAAAAATCCAGAGGCATCTTTTTATTCCTGAGCGAGTTAAACAATTTAATTGTTTCAAAAAAGTCAAAAAGATTCATCTACCCGAAACACTTTGAAAATATTTTGCCTCCAATTCCTAGTTTAATTATTTTTTGTCGAATAACAATGAGTTATTGAGTAATTTCCTCAAAACCACCTCCTAGTAATAAATACTAAATAGTATACACTTACCACCTCCTAATAATAAATACTATGTACTTTTATTATTTCTTTATAGCTTGCAAGCTGAAACTTATTTTAGATGAGGCAAAAATTACTGGTTAGGTAGTTGCAACTTCTCTTAGATAAATTTTGTCACAAACCATTATAGTGGTTGAATTAGACTATACCTTCATTGAGAGAGAGAGAGAGAGAGAGAGAGTGGTTGAATTAGACTATACCTCCATTGAGAGAGAGAGAGAGAGAGAGAGCAATCATTACTCATTAGATAATAATAATAAAAATATATACTACAGCTTACCTCTGTTCTAAATGATATATCACTGCTAACAAAAGAAACATGACAATGAAACAGAGCACCTTCCTTTTGTGAATGCGAAGCATGTTGTGTGTTTTCTGCTCAGGACTAGCCTATTACATTCAAGGGCCCGTTTTCATAACAGCTTTCAGTCCCTTGTGCATGGTTATTGTTGCTGTCATGAGCTCCATCATTTTGGCTCAGCAAATGTACTTGGAAATGCATCTCTCTAGACATGGTGCTTGATCTTACTACTAGCGTATAAGCATACTGAACACACAAAATCGCATATGCTGACGTGCATATTTGGATCTTCAACATATGCGATTTCGTGTGTGCTTATATGATCGTAGTAAGATTGAGCACTGTGTTTATAGAAATACCTTCCCAAGCTGTTACAAAAACAACTCCTCGATCTTTCATCACTATGCCTTGAATGCAATACGCTAGTCCTGAGTATTGCATTTCACAAACGTGACTAAGGTACTTAAAATTTAAGATTTGTTAAGTTCTCGGTGATCCAGAAACGACAGTCTAATAACAAATTATGATGGCTTCCCTTCTTCCTTTCCATATATTCGTTGAAGTTCACGAGTTGCAGCTAGAAAGGATTCTGAAAAAGAGGAAGAAGATAGCATGTGAGAAAGAAAACAATACATTAGCACA